TTCTTTTCCTATTTTATACTTTAACTTGTCCCTTTAAGCCAACGAAAACAAATGCCAAAACCACGAAGTAGTGCCTAATCTAGAAACTTGGGATACATTATGAAACTCCTGTTTTTATGTTGAAAAAAAATCCTTGTTTTGCTTTTTAAATTAATCTTATAAAAATTCAGCATTAACATACTTCATCATCATTTGGGTTGTTTTTTTTCTCTTTTTCACTCTCTCCCTATCACAGCGTTCTAAGAGGCAGCCCGGTGGAGATCCGCCGTCTGCTTTCTGGAAGATGGCTTTCCTCCATATACGCGTCTGCCTGCTCCAGCTGTGACTTGTTCTATTAATTTGCTGTAGTCGTAGCCATGACATTAATCCCCTTCCAGATTAAGTGAATGACACAAAAGATCTTTCATCTAACCATCTCCTCCCCCACGACTCTATATTGATGGATTTGGCCATTAGTTTCGGTGTCTTTTAGTTGAGGTGATGTGTAAGATAAGGATTTGTTGCTAGAGATATAGACTACTTTGGAAAGACAAAAGAAACTGACTTAATAAGGTTTAACATCTTATACCATGACACAAAGCAAACTTTCTTAATTAAATTTATTGGGGTGACATTGGTTAATAAGGTTATGTAAGTTTTAAGTATACGATACTATAATGCATCATCTGTATATTGCGCTGTGCTCATCACCCCAAGTTTAGTGCCCTTCTGTCCCCATATATTTGACCCCCTTTACCCTCGCCTCCCTTCCCCAGACCCTTTCCCCTCTGGTACCCACCACACTGTTGTCTATCAGTGAGGTTTTTTGTGTGTTTGTTTGTGTTTGCTCGTTCATTTGTTGCTTTCTGTTTTATAGCCCACATATGAGCGAAAACATATGATTCTGTCCCTTTCCATCACAGATGAAATAGTGCCATTTGCGACCACATGGATGGATCTTGAGAGCATCATGCTGGGCGACATAAGTCAGACAGAATAAGCGAAATATTAATAGTCATAGAAAATAAGATCTTTTCACATTAGGGAAATGGCAACAGGTTTAATCTTGAGTTTGTATTCAAACTCTGCCAGTAACTGGAGCTGCAAGTTTAAGCATGTTATTTAAGCTCTCTAAGCTTGCCTTCCTCATCTGTAAAATGGATAATGCCTGTACAAGAGTGTCATCCAGATTAAATATGACGCTATATAAATGTCTTTACAGAAAGTATATAAATTCACTAAATTATAGTTTTTATTATGGAACCCAAATCCAAGAGAGCAGGCAGCGAGCATCGCTTATTTTTTCAGTGAAGAATGATAGTGGTGAATTTGACATGTGGTTTTCTATACTAAGATTGCTGGCTCTTGCACAGTGTGTAATATACTATCTGATTTATGAATGTTAATTCTCAAGCTAGTTGGAAACCAAGCATGTGTTCGTGTTCAAAATCTACCAGCCTTGAGGTTCTGGATTGAGTAAAGCCTACATCATTAAAAGAATATTATTTGGGATCTATTTTCTTTAATTTTATGAGGAGGCAGTTCTAACAAGGCCTCTGAATGTTTTCCTTGTCACAATAGGATTTACTGTAGAATTGCCAAATAATTTTGTTTTTACAACCAGTTCATTCTTAAAATGCTATCTGAGATGATCATTGGTGTTTGAAGGGAAGTGCAGAAGAACTGATTATTTGCAAACATAGAAGAACAGGCCAGATGGATGTTTTGTTGTTGAATCCTTCCCTTACTCATAGAGTGCCAACAGTAACAATTACATTCATTACAGCTGAGACATTCTTTTAGTTCATGATACAGGGGCTTGGTATATTGTGTTTGGGTAGCAAAAGAATTTGGTAATTGAAGTGGGAAACCAAATTCAGTTTTTAAATCTATCTTTTTTTGAGATTTTAAAATTCTTAACCATGTAATATCAACATTTTGGTTAAAAGCGGGGTGGTGGGGGCGGGCATAGAAATGTTTTTTGGAGTAGTTTGGAGGCGACACATTTCTGTGTGCCCTAAATCAACTCCCCAGCCTACTCTGAAACATTCGGCAGTCTTTTGAATGAAATCCCAAACTAAGATTGTGGCCTTGTTTCGGCTGACGTCCCTTCTACCATAGAATTAACGAAAACTCTACCAGAGTCATTTCTTAAACACTCTTTATGTTTGACTGCCTTGGTGTGGTAAGCAGGAATTTCTGTCCTACGAGTAGGTTCTAAGGCCTCTGCCCCAAACTCTTGCTAGAACAGAAAGGCCCTTTTCCACTTGTCTTCTAAGAGTTTCTGCCTTGGCTTGCATCTCCTATGCCTAAGCTTGGCCACACCATTCCTATTCTCCATCTTTAGACTATGGGACCAGAGGGCAGTTAGAAAAGAAACTGAGAAACCTGGAAAAGATCCTCGAACAAGACTGAAAGGGTATAATGGAAAAGAGCACACTTTACTTCAGACACTGGGGCAGGACCTGATGAAACGAAAGGTTTTGGGTGGGAGATAAAAAGGAGAAGAAAACAGATGGCATGGTTATATTATTAGCCAAGAATTCAGGGTTGGTGGGGGAGAATGTCAAAATGTTGGCCCATCCCACCCAACTGTAATGTCTCGTGTTCTTTTTCCCTCTTTCCAAAAGTTGCCAAAGTTCATTGCCACCCATAGCAAATAAAGTGGGGCCACTTGGGAAAGCCTGGATCCCTTAACTGCATAGCATTCCGAGCCAAACACCCCAGATAGGCCAAGCAGGAGCTAAGATAGGGGCCTGACAGCTGCTGCACTAGGACTACTTTGAGGTCTTGGAAGCACATTCTGTATCTTTCCAGATGATTTCCAAAGCTTTTCTCAGTCTTTCAACATCCATTTATTCATGTTGCAATGTCTTGATTTGAGACTTGGGTCTGTGTCTTTAATTTACAGATTCAAAGTTCTTATCACCAAGATACATAGCTGACAGTAATGCCACTCTGGGGCTTATCCTCGGAGCTATTCTTTTTAGCTGAGCCATCTTGCCACCTGTTGGCAGCTCAGCGACAGCTCAGCTCGGGCTGGGACTTGAACTGCTGTTGCTCAGAGCTCACACTCTTAAGCGAGCTCTTAACCAACTCAGCCACTCAGCCAGCCCAAAGCTATACTTAACAGGATTATTTATTCTAAGTAGTTAAATCAACTTGAAAATACCTATGGTATGTGAATTCACTATGGGTAAATGTGCAGCTTTATTTTATGAAGAAAATAGTTTACGAAAACCTAATTTTTTTTATATTTGCTAAAAATAAAAATATCTATAGTAATAATATAGTCATTAAATTAATTTTGATTTTTCATCTCTTGCTCTTAAGTGAGTTATTAGGACTTCTTTCTGTCTCAGTTTCAGCAGGATGCTTGTAAAATCATTTTTCTTTGTTGTGTGAAGGGGCTTTTTAATGGTGTTGCTTTCTAAAGCAAGATTTGAAAGGCTGTCCTTTTGCATATTTGTACTTTCCATTTTAATGTCACTAAAATACTTTAGTTTTCTCAGAAGGACATCATCCGAAATACGTTTTTCCTATAAAAAGAATACATTGCTACCATATTGATTTTTTTCTTTTTTTGAGATAATGGTTTCCATAGACCCATGTTTAAGGAAAACCAGTAGAAAACTATATTGAGTTATTTCACCCTAAAAGCCTTGAGTTATAAAAAGAACTAATAGAGTCTGTAATATTTCTACATAGCACATTATCAGAAATAAGCTAGCTGGCTGGAACTGGAAATTATATGAAGTATTTTCTGCCAATGATTGGCTAAATGACCTTACAAGCAGTCCTCAGCTTACAGTGATCTGATAGCAGCAAGTCACTGACATCTACAGTGTTAGGCCCACAATGCCCACCTGTGTCATCACCTACAGCTCGTCTGGGTGGTCAACACGCAGGTTAACTTCTGTGAATCAATGGCTTAGGGGGCTTTGACAGGTCTCCTGCTTTCCAGACTGGCTCTACCAAGGGATCCTCTTAGCTTTCTCCCTGTACTTGGGAGTCTTTTATCTCTGAAATGGAATGGCAAGGGCTTTTGTTTTTTACTTTGTTCCTAAATAAGGGGTGGGGCAGAGGCAAGAGGGAGGGATCCCAAGAGAAAACCAGAGGGCAGCATTGGAAGGGCAGGAGGTGGGAGACTGAAGAGATAGTAGACAGCAAACTTTTTCTAGGAAGGGCCAAATGTAAGTATTTTAGACATTATGGTGTGTTGCAGCTGTTTAGTTCTGCCATTGTAGCCCCAAAGCAGCCATACACAATATGTAGATGAATGGGCTTGGCTGTGTTCCAGTTAAATTTTATTTACAAAAATAGGCGGAGGGCCTTCGGCCTACTGATCATAGTTTGCCAACCTCTGCAATACCACCAAGCAATATGACCCGAGTAAACTGGCTCTGAGAGAGATTCTAGAACAGAAGTCCTGAAAATATTTTGAGCAGTTGAGCATTCTTTAGTAAATGCATAGTTTCTCAGAGAAACTGTGAGCAACACTCATTTTGATGTCACAAGTTGGTATCAAATGTATTTTGAGTCTCACATGTTCATTTCTTTAAAATTCCTGGTGAATGAAAAAAGCAGTGGTAGATCATCAGCCTCTGTTATGAAGCAAAACTCAGCACTAATAATTAGGCAAAGAGGGGTCATAAATGAGCATCTCACAGATGACTTAACAGGGAAGTGGGGCTAAAAGCAGGGTAATTACGGGAGACCTGATTTCCAGTCCACAGCATGCTGAGTCCCGCTGCGTCAACCTACCTGGCCCTGGAGTCAAGTTAGGGTTTTAGAAACTCAGGGTTTTAGACGTGTGCATTTGGCAGTCACCTGCACAGAAGTGAAAGAATTATTCTGTTAAATTTTGATGACTGTGATTTTTTTTTATTAGGAATTGAACAAATCTATCACTAGAAAGTCAAATCCCCGTTGAATTGAATTCACCTTGTTACTGTTGCATGTAAAATATCATTGATATTTCCCACCATAATTGAACAAATGGTTCTTATCATCTCCGACAGGTTGCTCCTGCTGAAGGATTGGTCTCTATATTAAAGAAGAGGAGTGATACTGGAGACCCTCCTGCCCAGATGCAACAGAAACCATCTAAGCGAAGAGTCAGATTCCAAGAACTAGATGACCACTTAGATCAAGGTAAATACACTGCTCATGACTGACTCTCCGTGTTTGCTGAACGAATGAATTAGTGTATGATAACACAGGATTTGTAAAAGAATATGTGGATTTAGGTTGTTTTATGTTCTATAAAGACACAGCAAATCGAACTATCATCAGTTCTTACATATTTCCTAAGCATTTCGTTGGCTCAAATAAGTGAACAAGTTGCAAAATACAGCTTATGACCTCCTATCCCACAGACAGTCCTCAGTGTTCAAAGCTCATTTCGATTTCCTGGCTGAGTTTTTTGTTTTTTGTTTTGTTTTGTTTTGTTTTTAGGGTTTTTTTAGCGAGCCTGCAATTTTTGTCTTTTCAGCGGTAGTTAACTCTCCTCTCTTATAAATGTGGAAAATATGTATAAATTACAAGTGTATTCTCTTCAGTGATTTCTACTTGACTCTGTAGAAAGAAGTGCCTCTTAAGAGCAGCAGTTTGACACTGTTGTTGTTTGCCTTTTTCCTCTGGGGCCTGTGTTTAAGGCGGTTGCTAGGTTTACCTAAGGCCCAGGTAAATAAGAGTGAGTAGAAATAGAGCCAAGAACCTGTCAGTATGCTTCCCATGCTTATAGAGCTGCGTTGTTCAAATAACAGTGTAAACATGTATATATGCTTTCTAAGTATGACATAAAGTATAGGAGTTTCCAAATTATGACAATTACAAAGCTGGGAGGAGCCTTGGAAGTAATCTCTTCCCACTCATCCATTTACCTCTGCTCCGGATAAAGTGCTTAATTGTTTGTTTGCACTAATAGGCACTGAATTGGGCTTCCCAGGAGGAGCCCTGGATATAGAACTGACAATCCTATTTCACTTAGTAGCCATCTCTTCGTAAACCAATCACTTAATGTGTGCTCAGTAGCCTCACATGCCTTGTGGCTTCCATGTCAGCACAGCTATAAACCGTTTCAACACATGTAGATAAGACAAAAAAAATTGATATTTTTAAATAAACTGTATTTAAATTTGTGGAAAAGAATATGTGATTATGAAGAAAAATATGGAAAGATACATCAACTAGGTTGTTAACATAGATAACGGGGTGGTAGGGAATCAATGCCAAAAAAAAAAGAAAACATGGTGAAAATACTAACTAAACTGACATTTAAAAACCCCAAAAGACGCAACATGAATATGGTCATATTTATTCATTTGTATAAAAATATATTTGCATATATACATATAAACTATTAAAATCTATTAAACTATGAATTTATAAATCACAATAGGATTACATAACCCTTTTTATATAAAAATCCTGAAACCATATGTGTTTGATGGGGAAGGAAACACACCAAATTTAACAGTGTTTCTCTGGGGTCAAAGTGGAATATGATTGGGTAGAAGAAAAAGGAAGAATCTCTTAAACTCTTAGATACTTTTGTGTTTGAATTTTCACAGGAAGAATATATTCACACATTACTGTAAAACCTTCCAAATAAAGCCTATTTGGCTTATTTTGAGTTATATAAAATTTGTTTTTTTTAATCAAAGTAATATATGCTAATCATGAGAAAACTCAAATGGTAATCAAATAAAAAAGTATAAGTTCTTCAACCCTTCCGTAAGGGTTTCCCCAAGTACTGATTGAAGGAAGTTTCTTAGTACCCTTTGAAGACACATTCTGTATACACGAGTATGTATGTATATGTATGTATACACTCTTGAGGCAGCTCAGCAGCAACTGAATAGTTTTTCTGTTTTTTGTTTTTTTGGTTTTTGGTTTTTCTTTTTTAGCTGAGTCATCCTGCCACCTGTTGGCAGCTCAGCAGCAACTCAGCTCGGGCCAGGCATCGAACCACTGTTGTTCAGAGCTCTCACTCTTGAGCAAGCTCTTAACCAACTGAGCCACTCGGCCAGCCCCTGTATACACTCTGACACATACGTATGTGTCTTTTTTTTAACAAAGTGGGTTCATTACATACTGTCAGTGTCACGTGTCTTTAATTTAACAGTCAATCTTGGACATTTTCCTGTGAGAGAACATACAAATTTTATTTCATTCTGTTAAATAATTGCATAGTATTCCATTGTATGAATGTTCCATAATTATTTAACTATTCCATTGTAACTACAATAACTAAGTTATTCTCCACCCTTTGTTATAGCAAACTTTGCTGCAGTGAACATGCTTAGAAATATGATATTGTGTGTTGTGTGAATCCGTAGGCTAATTCCTAAAAGTGGATTTGCTGGGCTAATTGCTAGGGACTAGTTTGGCCTGAGGCAGTCCTGGTTCACACTTGTTGTCCTAGCGTTCTATTTAGTTAACACTCTTTTTCACTCTCAAAAATGTCCCAGTCTGGAGGATAAATTAATTTAAAATTTTGATAGGTACTGCTAAATTCCCTTCCCTGAAGGTTTTCATATACCCTCATCATGCTGATCATCAAACTTTTTAGCCTTTCCCAAATATTTCTTATTTTTATTTAATTATGAATGATCATTAAGAGTGTCTATATTTTTTCAATATGGAAAGACCGATGTGGACATTTTTACTAAAAACAAACCTGCCAGAGTTATTAAGCAAAATAAAAAGAAATTACTGTCCTAGCTACAATTTCACTATTCCACTAAGAGATAAGAATAAAATTGAGAATTATTAAGATGCGAGAGTGATCCTCCACAAAGTCATTTTTTTATTGTTTAATATCAAATTGACTTTGCTTTAAGGTGGTCCCATGATGTGAACTCCAAAGATATTATAACAGTGAGGTTATAATTTATATTCTAAAATAATGCTATGAGCACATCAAAGAAGTGTACTGCCTTTCTTCATCTTTTTTTATGCAAGTGATCATATTCGTTGTATAAATGAGCTAGTTTTAAATTGAGCTTTCCAAGCCTGTATCTTTGTGATACTAAAAGGTAGGTCCTTGTAGAACCATTCATGCACTAGCTTTCTGTCAATGACTCCTGTTCCTAGAGGACTAATAGGAGAAACATCTAGTTATCTTAATCAGTGGGAAGAGTACGGATGCTAGGATTTCCCTTGTGTGTCATTATAACTTTGCTCTGTTCTCATGTTTGCAGATGAAGTTGGAGGTGGTTCCTGTATTTTATTGGTCTTGCTGTGCATAGCTACAGTTTTCCTTAGTGTTGGAGGAACTGCATTATACTGCACTTTTGGTGACATGGAGTCACCTGTTTGTACGGACTTTGCCAACAACATGGACTTCTATTACTCTAAGTTACTGCAGGGAATGGCAGAACTTAAACACTGGATCTACCTCTCCTAGCAGCATTCAAGAGGGACAGGCAAGCTGGCAGTGAGACTCTAAGAGTAAAACTTTCTAAACAGCTTTTATTTTAAGAGCTGTGTAATGGTTGTGTCCCCTTCCCCCAGTGAGAAACCATGGACATCAAAAAACAGCGACTGTAAATGGCAGTCCAGAGGAGCTCTTAGAATAATCCATGCAATGCGTCAGATGTTGATGTGAACGTTGTAGATGGAAGGAGTGAGCTTTGGAGAGCGTGTCTATGCCCTCCGCACTGCCTTCTAGTGTAATGAGCTACACGGAGCAAAGTTAAACAGGGCAGTGTTGGAGCCGCACCATTTTTTAGCTTCCTTGTCAAGCTAACGGTTAAAGGACACTTTTGGTTTACATTTGTTGGTCCAAAGACATTGCTTCCAGCCATCACGCAATAAGTGTGTGCATAAACCAAAAGGAGTTACCTGTGGCTTCCATGTCTTTTTTAGTTAACCTTGGGAGATATGTAATTTAGACTTTGTGCATTATTTCCAGATTCTGTTCTCCATTTGTGAAACGGTTGTGTGTGTGTGTGTGTGTGTGTGTGTGTGTGTGTGTGTGTGTGCGCGCACGCACGCACATATGTGTTCAGACAGTTGATCAAAAGCAAATACCCAACACAGAATAACAAAAATGATCTTTATTCTTTTAACTAAACTATAGATTTGCAGGCACAAATCTTCAAAGAAGGCTTAACTATGGAACAGGTGAATTATGGAAACCTCGGCCCTGAAATGTGAAACTGTGACAGATCTGTGACCATTAACTTGATTAACCAGCCAGAAATTAATCACAGGCCTAGAGGTAAAATTAAAGAGCTCCCTCTGGGTCTCAGGCAACCAGTTTCATCATGGATTCAGTGCTTCCTGAAGTATGATGAACACTGGACTCAACACAATTCAGCAACTGCTTGTTGAGTACCTATTATGTTCTGAGAATCTAAGAGCCAGAATACACAGATAAATATCAGTTCCTGCTCTAGATTTTTTAATTCTGGTCTTATGTAAAAGAAGAAAAAAAAACTGAATACTTTGGCAAATGAAATCACCACATATAATTCAGTATTAACAGATCATGCATTCAGATATTTGAATGTGCTTTCATACCATGGGCTGATTTTGACCTATTATGAGGTCATTAAGCGAAAATTCAATCATGTCTTAAATAGGTAAATGTCTGTTTTTTGTTTAAATCTGTCAGTTAGGTGGCATTTTCTCTTCTAAGGCCTAACATTTAGGAAGCCTTCCTTGCTTTCACTTTTTATATCATAGGCAGCATTTAAAAAAAAACACACATGAATTATAGTTTTTTAGCAAGTGATCATTATTTTATGTTTTTCTGTTAGGATCATTTTAAAGAAAAAGGGAGAAATTACTTTCTTTGTTACTGGCTGGTACAGTGCCTCCCTTTGTGTTGCTGCTTATTTATTTAGATTATATGACTTTTAAAGGGCTTTTATATAAGTTGAAAGATGTTATTGAGCATGCGTTTGGTTATCCCAATGTAGATATTTAATTATCATGTACTTAGTATTTTATTGATTTTTCTATAATTTCAGTTCATTATGTTTTTAGGTTCGTGTATTTTTAAATTGATGTTTTATTTTCACTTATAATACTGTTTGACTTGTCTCTATCATGTCACCATAAACTAATATTTTCAAGGATTATAGATCAAAGATATTTATTTAGCAGTGTACAAGATACTGAAATTTAGATTCCTTATACTTAAGGCTGATTTTATTAGAAGATTATTTTAATGTTCTATTATAAATTTTAAGACTTTGTATTCAGATTGTATGTAAAATACGTAAAATGTTGACGGTACTATCTTATGTGGTTCTATAAAAGACATTCACAAACTCTACTGTGAGGGCATCCCCACCATAGGCAACCCTCTTCTGTTTTACCCTCAATTTCTAGTTATGGGAATTTGGTGATGCTGATTTCTGCCAGTTTTATGGTCAAGATAAGTCAAAACTTCCCTCCTGTTCTCTTTTAGGTCACTTTCAAAGTCCTAAATAATCTGTAGTGTCATTTCCCTAAAGGCCAGCAGGGCCATCACTTCTGAAACCGAAGATTTCCTAGGGACCTTCACACTGAGATGAAAGAGGTGAGATAATACCTTGGTCCTCAAGGGCCCAGTTGAGTCTGAAGAGAACCACGTGTGTCCTCTCTGCTTCCCAGGGAGGGTGAGGTGAATTCAGGAGCATATTGATATCTTGACTTAGAACAGGCATGAGAATCTCAACTAGAAAAATTAGGGCAATTAAAAAAAAATGTAATAGTCATTTATTGCATGAATTGGAGTAATTACATCTGGTAATGAAAGAATTGTTATCTCATACGTGAAAATTCGTCCAGTTTTACTATCCTGTAATTCTTTCTGTCATTCGAAAGTACTGACAACTGTTTGTAACTAATCTTCCTTAAGAACTGTATTTGAGGGTAACAGATCAAGCTTGTAATTTAAAGTCTACACCAACAAAGTGTCTCAGAGGGTTTATTTGAACCTGGGGTGCTGAGAAAAAAAACTGCTTTCCAGTGAAAATAAAATACCTTCAGAAGTTGGGCTGGTGGGGCCGGCTGAATGACTCAGTTGGTTAAGAGCTCGCTCAAGAGTTTGAGCTCTGAGCAACAGCGGTTCGATGCCCTGCCCGAGTTGAGCTGCCACTGAGCTGCCAACAGGTAGCAGGATGGCTCAGCTTAAAAAAAAAGAAGTTGGCCTGGCCCCACAAGCAGGTGGCTGTCCATTTGGGGAAGTCTAATAGGTCTCTCCTTAAAGGCTCCTCTGTTCCTAGAACACCCCCCCGCCCACCTGCCTGACACAGGAACTGGAATTTGCTCTAAAAATCCCTTTAGATTTAAAAATCAGAATTCTCTGGGAGGTTTACATTAGTGATCTGTGAATTTGTGTGTTCTGCTGAGAGGATTGGAAATTTGAAGGTAGGCCTTATTTTGAAAGAACAGATGTGAATTGGGTCTTGCTGGCATGGTAGAAGAATAGGAGATGGGAGTAGCAGGATGGAGAAGGGGTAGGAACTGAGAAGTGAGAAGAAAGGTGGGAAGAGAACAAAGAAATCCTGTAGCTATTAACCTGCTCTGCTGAAGCTGGCTTTGTGGCATTTGCTCCCAATCCAGGGACAGTGAATATTTTGTGTTCCTACTGACGTGACTTATATAACTGTTCATTTCTATGGGCTCAATTAATATTAACCTGCCCTTGTCTACTTCTTTCTGCAGTGTAATAGTGTTTTCACATTTATTTATTTGATGCTTAGATCAGTAAACACACACTCCCTTGAGTCTGGGTCTTGTAACTCCCAAATCCAGTAGTATACTTTCCATTCTATCATGTTGCCTCCATCCTCAAAAGGAATAGGAGTGATCTAGGGTTCATGGCACAAATTCTAGTGCTGTCTGCTATTTTAACAACCTCAATGATAAATGTTATTGAGCTTCATGTACTTACCCTGAAAAAGCTACAGTAAGGTAAAAATTTCCTTAAGGACTTCTAGTAGAATTTAAATCTTCCTGAATTTAGGCTGTGAGAGGAAAGGTATGCTAACCTACGGGTATCTCTTCTCCCTGGTTCTAAGAGCTACTCCAGAACTCAACTTTTTGTTTGTCGCCCTGAGATCTGTTCAGAACAATGAGCAGTGCATGTCACCGTCTGCACCTTGATGAACCTTTGAGTGCCTGCAGTGTGCCTAGCCTGAGCTGGGTTCTGGGCTCCAGAAACAAGACACGGTACCAGCTTCAAGCAGTTAGCATCAGGCGAGGTAAATGTGTCTGTGAAGGGCTCATGATCCCCGTGGGGGTGGGAATTTGAGCTCCCCCTTTCCTACGGGGTGTTGTGCACTCTTACAAATAAAAGTCAGATTCTATCTAGGCCACCTGTGTAGCAAGTTGATAGACAGCAATCTTTTCTCACAGCTAAAGTTCTAGTAAATTACTGCTTTTCACTTCCAGTTCGCATTTGTGGCGTTAATAGCGTGTGGGCTTTCCAGCAGGTGGTAAGCTCAGCAAGAACCTTCCTCAAAATTGGAAGTCTGAATAGCACAATTGAAAACCCATCTCACAAAACTCCAGGTCTAGATGCCTCCCAAGTAAATGCTAGCAATCATTTAAGTAAGAAATAATACCCATCCCACAGAGCACTCTTTCAGAAAGGAGAATATACCTGCCAATTCATTTCATGAGACTTACGTTACTCTGATACCAAAACCAGACAAACACAATAAGAAAAGATAACAAATAACCAATATCACTCATGAACTTAGCCACAAAAATCCTTAACAAATGTTAGTAGGTCCAATCTAACAATATGCAAACAGGATAATAATGCATCAGTGAGATTTATTCCCAGGAAGACAATGTTAGTTTAACATTCAAAAATCACTCACTGTAATTCACCTTTTAACAAATGAAAACAAAAGAAAAAATATCATATCAAATACATAAAATTCATACATCATTCATTTTAAAACCAAAGCAAACTAGAACTGGATGTGAACATTCTCAACTTGATCAAGGGCATTTCTGGAAAACCCACAGCTAATGTCAAATACTTAATGGAGAAAGACCCAATGCTTTTCTTCCCAAGGTCAGGAAGAAGACAAGAATGTCCACTCTGATCATTTCTACTCAATATTGTACTGGATGTCCTATAGCAAAAAAAAAAAAAAGAAATGAAGTCATACAGATTAGAAAGGACAAAATAAAACTTTATAAATGACATGATTGTTTATAAAACAAATCCTGGGGAATCTATAAAATGCTATTAAGATAATGAGTTTAGCAAGATGCAAGGTCAATATACAGAAAAATCTAAGTTTTCCTGTAAACTAGCAATGAGCAATTGAAACATGAAATTAAAAATTCACGAATACATAAATAATTCATTTCGCTTACAATAGCATCAAAACCATAAAATACAAATTTAACAAAATATGTGCAAAACTGGTACCATGAAATCTATAAAGCATTGCTAAAAGAAAGACAAGACCTAAATAAACGGAGAGATGTAATCTGTTCATGGATTGGAAGACTCAATATTGTTAATATTGTCAGTTCCCCCAGATTGATGATCCGTAGACCTGAAACAATCCCAATAAAAATTCCAGCAATTTTTAGAAATGGACAGGGTTATTTTAAAATGTGTTTGGAGATGCAAGTGACCTAGAAGATAGACAATGAAATTGTTATAACAAAATTGGAGAGCTTAACACTTCTATATTTCAAGACTGAGTGCTACAGTAGTCTGTGATGTGTCAAGAGGATGGTTCAGAAACAGATTCTCATGTATATGTTGAAACGATCTTCTACAAAGGTGCCCAGATAACTCAGTGTGGGGAAGGGAAGTCTTCAGATAACGTGGGAACAACCACATATCCCACTGGGAATATAATAAACTTAGACCTTTACTTCACCCAACACATAAATATTAACTTGAAAGAAATGAATGTAAATGTAAAAGCTAAAACTATAAAATTTCTAAAGCAGAAGAAAATCTTTGCAACCTTTGGGTAAGCAAAGGTTTCTCACTACAGAAAATACATATACCATAAAAGAAAAATTGATTAACTAGACTCTAAAAACTTGTGCTCTTTAAACAATTTGGCTAGGAAAATTAAAAAGCTGAAGATTGGGGGAGTGGGAACATATAAATATAAATATAAATATATATATGTATAATTTTTTTTGGATGCTCCTTGATTTATGATGGGTTTACGTCCTAATAAACCCATCATAAGTTGAAAGTGCATTTGCTACTGAAGTATCGGTTGTTTGCCCTGGGGACTGGTGTGGCTGGCAGGAAACTACAGCTTGCTACCACTACCCAGCATCACAAGAGTATATCGTAGGGCATATTGCTACCCTGAGAAAAGATCAAATTCGAAAGACAGTTTCTATTGAATGTGTATCACTTTCACACCATCATAAAGTTAAGAAATCGTAAGTTGAACCATCATAAATTGGGGACCATCTGTAGATAATTCCAAAGAATCTACCAGAAAGCTACCAGAGCTCATAAATGAAGTTGCAAGGTACAAAGATCAACACACAAAAATCAGCTGTGTTTCTAAATACCAGCAACTAACATTCTGGAAAGGAAATTAAGAAGGCCCTTTCATTTACAATAGAATCTGAAAGAATAAAATACCTAGGTATAAGTTTAACCGAGAAGAAGACTTGGACACTGACAACTGCAAAACATTGCTGAAAGAAATTGATATCTAAATAAATAGAAAGCTATCCTGTGTTCATGGGTAAGAAGACAATATTATTAAAATGTCAGTACTACCTAAAGTGATCTATAGATTCAAGTAATCCCTATCAAAATCCCAACCACCTTTTTTTTTTCCTTTTTGCAAAAAGAGAAAAACTGCTTATCAAATTTATATGGAGTTGCAAGGGGACCCAAAATCCAAAAGAGTCTTGAAAAAAGAAAATTTGAAGACACACTTCTCAATTTCAAAACTTACTACAAAGCTACAGGAATCAAAACAGTGTGATACTGGCATAAGGATAGACATGTAGACCAATAGAATAGAACTGAGAGTCCAGAAATAAGTCTATATGTCTAGCCAATTGATTTTTGATGAGGGTGTCAAGTCCATTCAATGGGGAAGCAATACTCTCTTCAACAGATTGTTCTGGGACAACTGGATTTCCACATGCAAAAGAATGAAATTGGACCTCTGCCTCACATCATATACAAAAATTAATGCAAAATGAATTAATGGCCTAAGTATGAATTACATCCATAAACTCTTAGAAGAAAAGGTTAAATCTTCATGACTATGGATTTGGCAGTGGATTCTTAGATAAAACTCCAAAAGCACAACAAAAGAAAAAAAATGATACATTGGACTTCTTTCAAAACTTTAAAAATTTGACATCAAAGGAAATTATCAAGAAAATTAAAAGACAACTAACAGAATGGGAGAAAATATTTGCAAATTAAACATCGGATAAGGGCTTTATATCCAGAGTATATAAAGAACTTATAGAATTCAAATAAAGAAAAACAACCCAATTAAAAAATGTGCAGGGCCAGCTGAGTGGCTCAGTTGGTTAAGAGCTCGCTCAAGAGTTTGAGCTCTGAGCAACAGCAGTTCGAGTCCAGCCCGAGCTGAGCAGCCGCTGAGCTGCCAACAGGTAGCAGGATGGCTCAGCTAAAAAAAAAAAAAAAAAAAAAGTGCAAAGGACTGGAACACACGTTTCTCCAAAGAAGATGTACAAAGTTTTGAAAATATAGTATGGTAGTGATGTTTGCACAACATTGTGAATGTACTTAATGCCACTGAACTGTACACTTAAAAATGGTTTAAATGGCAGGCCACCCGAGTGGCTCAGTTGGTTAAGAGCTTGCTCAAGAGTGCTAGCTCTGAGCAAGAGGGTCACCGGTTTGATTCCCAGCCCGAGCTGAGTTGCCGCTGAGCTGCCAACAGGTGGCAGGATGGCTCAGCTAAAAAAAGAAAAA